GCGCGGAGCGGGCGGTGGGCGGGGAGCCGCGGGCAGGGCCGTGCACCGAGCCGCCCCCGCCGCCGCGGCCTGGGACGCCCCCGGGGCTCCGGGGACATGGGGGGGGGAGGGGTGCTGCCAGCCCAGGTCAGCCGGGAGCGGGTGCAGGACGCGCGGGGACCGGGAGTCCAGCGTCTGTCCGCCTCTCTGCCCGCCTCTGTGTGCCCATCATGTGTCCTCCTTCTGTCCCTGTGGGAGGATGCAAACGTCCTGCAACTGGACCGTGGAGGGGGTTGGACAACTGAATGAATTTACTAGAAATCATCACATTGCGAGAAACGAAAAGCCAGAGGGGGTGCGTCCGAAGTGCCCAGAAGTTGTCAGGATAAGATGATCACATGGGAACGGGGAAGGACAAGGGAATCCGAACACGACGGCAACCAGGGGACAGGCGGCGGGGACCCCGAGTGTGTGGGGCCAAGGCAGAGCCAGGGCCAGGGGAGGACTCCGGGGACGCGGCTCAAGGGGGGCAGGCGACATCCCCTTCTGCACGTCCCTTTTAAAGATTCCTATGAGAAATCCTTAGATATAGAAATCTGGTTAACTTCTTTTAAATCAGTAATTCTCAAATATATTTGATCTCGGAGTTCCCCCCACCTGGACACCCACAAACCACCCTTCAGGGGAAAAAAATGTGATTCTAGGTTTAAAACGTCTTAAAACCAAGGCTAGGCTGCATGGGACAGAGCCCTCCTATGCTCCCCATGAGGGCAGGAACGCAGCGTCTGCCACCCAAGTACAGACAGGGCAATGGGCCGGCCCTGCAGGTCACAACCGTGGGGGTGACTGAGGCGTGGAAGCCACAGCAAGTGGGTGGTGATGGAGGGAGATGCAGGGAAAATGTGATGCTGCCAGCTGGGGAGAGGGCGCACTGACGTCTCAGCCCTCCGTAAGGCACGGTGCTTTCAGATGCAGGCATATCCATAGGAAGAGGGATTAAGCCTATTTCATGCAAATGTCACACTTCATTTACCTGAAGCCCCTCCACTTCACCTGGAAAACCCCTTCCAGGACGTCCCAGGAGCCTGACTGCAAGAACTTCTTCCTTTAGACCTTCAGAGATACACCAGGCAAATGCAAAGGGAAAAAAAAAGAGAAAAAAGAGCAGGAGTAGGAAAATAATGTCAGAACGTCAGATAAGGAAAAAGCATTATACGAGGAAAAGACAGATGTGAATAAAGACAAAAGATGTTTATTCTAAGCAATACGTGCTCTAGAATACAGTAGTAATGGGGACACCTCACCTGTTAATTCACATGCAAGCAATGTATGTAGTGAGAGTCTATTAAAATTAGGTATATTTCTTTTTTAGCTCAATTTTATTGAGGTATAAAAAAGCATTCATCTTAAGCATACATTTTGATGAATTTTACCAAATGTAATCACTACCACAATCAAGAAATAGATCCTTTCTGGACTGGCCTGTCAGCTCAGTTGGTTAGAGCACCACCTTATAACTCCAAAGTCAGGGGTTCAGATCCTCGTACCAGCCAGCTGCCACACACACACACACACACACACACACACACACACACACACACACAAATAAAGAAAGAAAGGAACCATTTCCATCACCCCCAGAAAGTTCCTCTGTGCCTTTTGCAGATAATCCTCTCCTCAACCCCAGCACCAGGCAACTATTGATCTGCTTTCTATTACTACTGATTAGTTTTGCCTGTATTAAAGTTTTATATAAATGGAAACATATGGTGCATACTTTTTGTTGTACGGCTTTTTTTTTTTTGCTCATTATAAATGCTTTTGAGATTTATCCCTATTCTTCTGGATCGGCAATTCGTTCTTCTTTAGCAGGTGTTCTGGCCACCTGTGCTCATCCTGTCTGGTCAACGTGATGTTGTTAATATTATCTATCAGCATGATGTTCTATGGGATGTGCAGGTGATCCGGATCTCTTTGAACCATATTATAACAAAGGGCAGATGAGTTAATATAAACCTGTGACAAAACAGTAAATAATATTCTTATGTGTCACACATGAACACAAACTGTTTCTGATCTTCCTTTCTCATCAGAATGGAAAGAACACATTTGTTAAATCCGTGGCCACACACCGTGTACTTGAGGCCCATGGAATGACCTGGGCTGGAGATCTTACTGCCCAGACTGCCCATTTTCCTAGCTTGGTCCTCCAGCTTTCCATAAATTCTGTGAGCTGTGCAGTATGCTTCTAAAAAATTGAATTTGTGCCTGAGTTAGCCAGAGTCAGTTTGGGTTACTTGACCCCCAAATATCAGCTGATTAAAAAAATTGGGTACCAGAGGTTGAATTGCAGGCAAAAGATCTTCAAGGAAATATGATCAATTTGAGATTGGTTTCTGACATAACTGGACCTAAAGGTAGTGAACATTGCATTAATGTTCAAAGGTGGAAATTTGCTAGGCTTTGGCAAGCAGGGGCAAGTTGGTAAATTAAATTATAGCACTGCATTGTGATCAAGATTCTGTACAATTCACACCCCACTTCCAAGTGTCAGATCCTAGCACCCTTAGCAATATGGAGAGAAATCTTTCAGGTAAAATGAAAGCATCCACTTGGGTTTGGGGATTACCACCTACTTGCCCTAAATCTGGGTGGAGAACAGAGCGAGGAGGTAGGCTGGAGTCTTCTTGCCCCCTGGTCACACAGAAGTAAAGGAAGACAACTTCACCCAGCCTTAGGAACCAGGAACGTCTGGTGGTCCTAAATAGTCTTGGCCCAGGCATTTCTGATCCAGGAGAGGTTCTGTAGTGAGCATAGGGAAAAACAAGACCATGGGAAATAGGAGCTGAAAGTCCAGAGAGAGAGACCCACATCTGTGCAGCACTGGGTAGGTACAGTGACCCTGCCCCACTGGAAAAGATGTCCTCATTAATGTCCTGGAATCTGTCCCAGCCAGACTGGTGTTTGCTCTTTGTGGAGAAAGAAAGCAGGGGTGGGCAAAGGGGTAGAAATCTCTTGCCCTCTATAAGTATATTTTGCAAACTTATGTGTGCAAATTTCCTAGCACGTCTGTAATGAACCAGAAGTGTGATTCAGGGGCACATATTGTGGAAAAATACTGCTCTGCTTCTGTCCCCCCATCCCCGCCTCCACCCCCACTGCTTTGGCCACTGCTCTGTCTTAGGCCCTGAATTCTACAATTACCTGGATTCCCCTTCACCCTCTTTCTTTGATCCATTGTTCTGCCTAGATTTCTAGTCCTCTGCTTTTGTTTAATTTTGCTCCCATTTATCTTTCAACTGTATGCTGACATACTGTATTTTTGTAAGTTGCTTCAAATCCTTTGCAGAATGAGGGCTGGGTACACATGAGAAAATTGGGTACAAACAAATGCAATGCACCTATCTGCCCGCATCACATTGTCCTTCAAGGTCTCAATAATCTCAGCTCCAGACCCTTTCCCCATCCAGTGAGAAGCCTGTTGCTGTCCTTAACATTTCAGTGAAATAGTTGAAGATGAGTTTTCTCCCACTCACCCCGGCTGCAGTTGTTAAGTGCCCACGTGTTCAAGCAAATGCAGAACTGCACCTCGGGCTTCTCTGCCCAGCGTTGGCATGCGCCCTCAATTAGAGGAGTGGAGAGAGTTCTCTTAGCTCTGGCTGCTTTCCAGAAATGCTAAGAACATCTCCCCTACTTTATAATGCTGAGCACCTTGGCTCCCTCCAGCTCCATGTCCAAAAACTGGGCCTAACTCATCCAGTCCAGGCTCAGCAAGGGGCCCGGCCCACCCACAGGCCAAGGGACTTGGAAGTACTCGGCTCTCCCCTGTCCTTCTCACAGCCACATGTCCAAAAACTGGGCCTAACTCATCCAGTCCAGGCTCAGCAAGGGGAAACTATGCCACCTCACCTCGAAACAACTGGGATCTGGTTTAGTTGAACAGACTTTCCCCCCGACTTCCATAGGCTCTTGGAGTTGGCCCTGCTTTTCTTCCCTGGGACCGAGAAACGTCTTGAAGCCGGTCAAGCGTATCAGTGCAGCCCTGTCACATGGCACTTTCACTTTTTTTTCCTCTTCTGGTGCAAGACCTGAGGGATTGGTCGGTTGTCAGAGTCTCTCCTCAGAGCCCTGGGAGGGCACCAAGGCAGCGACACTCTAACTGGGTGTGATCTGAACTCACAGCCCAGCGGGGCCCGCTGTGGAGGATGGCAGGTGCAGGCGGTGATCCCCACTTCAGGTAAGTCACCGTCCCCTCTCCTTGTCCTTCATCTCTGGGAACGTCAGTGTTGATATTTGCTACTTATGTCTACCCGGCCTCCTTCCACATATATGCGATCAAAGATTACAAATACATCAGCAACGAGGAAATCAGATTTTTAAATTGCAGCCAATTAGCTGCTGGGAAAACTTAAGGCCACCCTGACTCACATCACCTTATTTCCCTGGTGGCTGGGCTGGTGCTGTTAGAACTTCATGGTCTCTTCTGAGGCTCTGCTGCAGGATCCGATGATTCTTCATGCCCTGGGAACCTTCCCATCTCCCTCAGGCCTCCTTTATCCCCACCCCAAAAGAAAACTCTATCCGAAAAAGATCTTAGAAAAATTCATATCCACATCACATGCCTGTCTGCTGTCCAACTTTTTCCAGTTCGCATAGTTGGGGGCTAGTTCTACTCTCGGCCCATCTGTGTGGCCCTGAGTGCTGGCGTCAGTTCAGGATCTCCGAACACTTGATAGGAGGAAGTGAAAGCAGATGAGACCAACGACAGATGCAGGCAGATGGCGAGTGAGTGTTTGTTTTTTGGGTTTTTTTTGTACTCTGCAGTGTGTTACACATCTGGGTAGAGAAGGATGAAAACTCTTTTAAAAATATAAGACTCTAAAAATTAAAATTAAAAAAAAAACAAGACAAATACAAATATATTTTTATTAGTAAAAATTAAAACACTGTAAGAGTATATGGAAACACTTCTAAGTGGGTCTCTGAGCCCAGGCGACTTCTGGTGCTGGTGCAGTCCCAAGAAGGCAACGGTTTTTGCTACCACCAGCAGCAGTGGGGGCACCAGGTTGGTCCTCAGTGCCTAGCATGGTCACTCCCACAGAATATTCCAGACTTCGCTACTCCACCTGCTTGTAGAGAAGGGAGAACGAGAGAGTCGAGTTCAAAGTCCAGCAGCCCACTGAGAAAGGAGGGCAGGGTAATGCTGACCTGATGGTATGAGTATCACCTCTGCGTCTCTTTGCTGGAAGAGATTGTGGAGAATCGTATCATTTCTTCTTTCAATGTTTAGTAGAATTCACTAGTAATACAATCAGGGCCTGGTGCTTTCTTTTTTGGACGTCTACTAATTATTGATTCAAGTTTCTTTAACAGACATAGGCCTATTCATATGATCTGTCTCTCCTTGTGTGAGTTTTGGTAGTTTTCCTTTTAAGGAATTTGTCCATTTCATCTGTTTCCTAATTTTTAGGCATAGACTTGTCCATAGTATTCTTTTATTATCCTTTCAATGCCTGTGGAGTTCAGTTCAAAGTCCAGCAGCCCACTGAGAAAGGAGGGCAGGGTAATGCTGACCTGATGGTATGAGTATCACCTCTGCGTCTCTTTGCTGGAAGAGATTGTGGAGAATCGTATCATTTCTTCTTTCAATGTTTAGTAGAATTCACTAGTAATACAATCAGGGCCTGGTGCTTTCTTTTTTGGACGTCTACTAATTATTGATTCAAGTTTCTTTAACAGACATAGGCCTATTCATATGATCTGTCTCTCCTTGTGTGAGTTTTGGTAGTTTGCCTTTTAAGGAATTTGTCCATTTCATCTGTTTCCTAATTTTTAGGCATAGACTTGTCCATAGTATTCTTTTATTATCCTTTCAATGCCCGTGGAGTTCATAGTGACCTTTCTTTCATGTCTGATAATGGTAATTTTTATTTTCTCTCTTTTTTTCTTTGTTAGCCTGGCTAGAGATTTATTAATTTTAGTGATCTTTTCAAAGAATCCGCTTTTGGTTTCACTGAGTTTAACATTTTCCTATTTCAATTTCATTAATTTCTACTTTAATTTTTGTTATTTATTTTCTTCTGCTTGCTTTAGGCTTACATAGCTACATTTTCCCCCTCTAGTATCCTCAGATGAAAGCTTAGATTATTGATTTAGATTTTTATTCTTTTCTAATATGTGCATTTAATGCTATACATTTCCCTCTAAACACTGCATTTGTTGTATCCCATAAATTTTGATAAGCTGTGTTTTCATTTTCATTTAGTTCAAAATACTTTTCAATTTCTCTTGAGACTTCTTCTTTGATCCTAGAACTGTTTTATTTAATCTCCAAATATTTTGGGATTTTTCAGTTGTTTTTCTGTTAATGATTTCTAGTTTAATATCACTGTGGTCTGAGAACATACTTTTTATGATTTCTATCTTTTTTTAAGTTGTTAAGGTGTGTTTCATGGACTAAAATTTGATAGATCTTAGTAAATACTCCATATGGGCTTGATGAGTGTGTGTATTCTGCTGCTGTTGAATGGAGTATCATATAAATGTTAGTTACATCAAGTTGATTGCTATTGCTGTTCAGGTCAACTATATCTTTACTGATGTTCTGCCTGCTTGATCTATCAATTAGTGAAAGAGAAGTGTTGAAGGCTACAGCAATGGTAGTGGATTTGTCTATTTTTCTATATAATTCCATAACCTTTTGCCTCAAATATTTTAATACCAGTTTGTTAGTTGCATGCACATTAAGGACTGTGTGTCTTCTTGGAGAACTGGCCCCCTTATCATTCCATAAAGCTCCTCATTATCCCTGACAATTTTCCTTGTTCTGAGGTCTGCTTTGTCTGAAATTGAAATAGCTACTACAGCTTTCCTTTGATTAGTGTTGGCATGCTGTGTCTTTCTCCAACCCTTTACTTTTAAATTCTCTGTTTTTAACATTTGAAGTGACTTTCTCATAGACAACCTATAGTTGGGTGTGTGTGTGTTTTATGTACTCTGTTAAATGTTTTATGCACTCTTTTAAATGGTGTTTTTAGACCATTCACATTTATTGATGTAGTTAGATTAATATCTACCGTGTTTGTAAACGTTTTCATTGCACTTATTGCTTCTACTTTCTCTTCCTTTCTTTTCTGCCTTTTCTGGTTTTAGCTGAACATCTTATAATTCCATTTTCTCTCCTCTCTTAACATATCAAATATATTTCTTTCAAAACATTTTTAGTGGTTTCCATGGTGTTTCCAATATACAACTAATCATGTCCACTTTAAATTACACTACACCACTTCATGGGCAGTGGATACATCTTATAATTAAATGTCACAAATTCCTCCCTCCTGTCCTTTTTAACATTGCTATCAGTCATTTTACTTATCTATATGCTATAATCATCCAATATATTGTTGATATTATTACCTTGAACAAACAAGTTAGGATAACTTAAATAGGGAAAATTTATATTTTATAAAAATTATTTCTGCATTTATTCCTTCTCTAATCCTTTTTCTTTTTTATTAAATGGAGATCTGAGTTTCTGGCCCAATACAATTTTCCTTCTACATGAAGAACTTCTTTTAACATATCTTACAGAGTGGGCTTTCTGGCAATGAATTCCCTTAGTTTTTGTTTATTTGAGAAAATGTTTACCTTAACTTGGAATGTTAATTTTACAAGATACAGAAGTCTAGATTGATAGGTTTTTTTCTTTTACCACTTTGATTATTTCTTTCTACTTTCTTTTCTTGTGTGGTTTCTGATGATAAATCTAATGTAATTATTATCCTTGTTCCTCCATAGGTAAGGTATTTTTTTCCTCTGCCTTCTTTCAGCATTTTCTCTGTCTTTGGTTTTCTGCAGTTTGAAAATGATATGTCCAGGTAGAGATGATTTGATAGATATCCAGCTTGGTATTTGCAGAGTTTCCTGAATCTGCGATTTGTTGTCTGTCATCAATTTTGGAAAGTTCTTGGCCATTATTACTTCAAATATTTCCTCTGTTCTGTTTCTCTTTCATCTGCCTCCAGCATTCCAGTTATACCTCTTGAAATTATTTCAGCTGTAGGGGCCAAGAGAAGATATCCCCTTCAAACCCCTGAAGGTTTTCTGAAAAATCAAGTGATAAACACCTATTAATATGAAGAAAAGGCATAACAAATTTTATTTGATCACAGTTTTATGTGGCATGGAGCCTTCAGAATGAAGACCGAAAGATATAGGGAAAACTCTCCATGTTTATGCTTAGGTTCTATGAAGCAGGCACAGCCATGCAGAAATGTAACTGGACAAAAATGATATGATATAATACTGATAGACTGAATGGGGAACCCAGCAAGGCCTATTTTCCAGATTCTTCTTGGCCTTTCTGTGCAGCCTTCCTTCCTCCCGAGGGTGTACGAGGGTCCCTTCTTTTTTTTTTTTTTTTTTTTTTTTTTTTTTTTTTTTTTTTTTTT